GTTTGCGAACGCCTTCTTTGGTTGACTTCACTTAATTGGTAAGTGCCCGATGACTTTTTTATTGTTTCTTTTCGAGATTATACTTCCAGTTAAAATTAACGTTTACCATCGAAACATCGATATGAATTAGCAAATTCGTATAAAATTTTTAAATCTTTGCGAATTTTATGAGTTTCGTTCGGACTTTTACGAGATTCTTCTCGTTTCGTTATCGTTTCTCGGGATCTTGTCTTCTAAATATGTCGATGGGGATGTGTTTATTAGATATACGCGAAGTAGACGGCGGCGTGGTTGTTATTAAGAGATCCACCTTCTTTTCGACGACGACGGTCGTTTTAAAACCTGGAGGGCGAAAGATGGTTTATTGCGTCGAGTTGGTAGATCCTTATCTTCACCACAACACCCTTTGCTTTCGCTTTTTAACAACATAGTTGCGCACGACTTACTCTTTACCACCATCTTATCTTTTTTATTTCATTTTGTATCGGTGAAAAATGAAATAAAACTTAAAAGCGATGTGGATCGATAGAAAAAAATTTATGTGTAATCATATTAATCATATACGATTTTGCGATCATTAATAATGAGTATTAAAAATTACTTTTGCAGTATACCTGAAATGGTATGCATGTTGGTGGGGTGGGTAAACGTTGTTGTGCAACGCAACGGTAGAGTGGACACAGAGAAGATGGTAGAGTAATTCGCCATGGAAGGGCCCCTCACTTTGGCTTTATTAATAGGCAACATAAAATGGCTACCCACGGGGGGACAAACGGGCGACGCGACGCCGCACTGTTTTACGACTATTATACATAGCGAAGAGCGCCGTCATAAATTAGAGCAACCTCACTCTTCTCTCTGTGTGTAGCTAGCATACAAGAAAAGGAGGATGTTGCGGGAGACGAAGAACCTGCAGGCGATAAGTCAATGGGGGTGACGTCCTTTACAGCAAAACCATTAATTTACAACCACTCCTAATCATAATAATCATAACTTTAGTTGCTTTTATCTTCTTTTTTTTGTTGAGATATTCAAAGTACTCCCAGGATTTTATTTATTGATCATTGTCGGATCGTGCTAACGTTTTGCAAAACGCGGATCTATTCCTCTTCGAGATGAACGAGAGGAGGATTTATCTCAACTTTGGTCACTTGGGGTGGTCCCGTGTCACTCGGGCTTTGGTCACGACCCATAGTTACGAAGAAACCGAACGGCAAACAGAGAACGCTCGCGTATACCATCACAATTTCTTCTAAACAAGACCAAGATAGAGAAACTCAAAAGAAGAAGAAGAAGAGACTACTTACCCCGGCTCATAGTGTGGAAATTTATTGGTTTTCACTCGTTCAGATCGTGAATCAAAATCCTCCACAAGAATAGTGCCGACAAAGATAAGAACGAAGAAAAAGAAAGAGAAAGAGACTATAAAATTTGGTTAAACTCCGTTTTCAAAGGAATAAATCTCTTGGAACACGTTGAAAGGTTGGAGGGAGGATCTCGCTCGTTTTTGCTTTGGTGCTTTAAAGCAAGAAAGGCAGAAGAAGAAGAAGAAGTGCAGCCCTAACCTCTACTAGCCGTGGCTGGCGGGATGCGAAAAGAACAAAGAGGCGAGTGTAATAACCCCGCGCCTCGCCGCAAATAAGATTAAACGCGATCGGGATGGCCGATAATTTCGAAAACACGAGAAGGCGCGCAAAAAGAGAATCCGGATGCCGATAAAATCGCGTCCAACCAACAAAGTGGGTGATTTATTGACGCAGATGAAAGCGACGTTTGTAAGCGCACGCGTCCGACGATTAAACAAGAAACAAAACCAAAAAAACGTCTTTTCCCTGTTTTTATTCCCGATTTAAGATTACTTTTTCAGAAATTATTAACATCAAAAATCGTCCCTTAAACATTTAAAACAAATGATATTACAAACTTATTACCCACTAGATGTCGCATAAACTTCTCCTAACCACTACTAGATGACATTATTTAATTTATCATTTTTTAAATGAAATATATCATTTAATCTCGTTTTTGATTTTCTTTCACCATAAATCGGGTTCGAAACTGTTTCTGAAAGCTTCCTGCATTGTCTCGTTTTGCACGGATAGAAAATGGGGTCGAATAGTAGACGACTTATAAACGATTTTGATTCATGGGTTCGTTTCGAGAAGAAGTAGGTAGTGGCCCCAACATGTCAGCGGCACAATCGAAGACAATACGAGAACGGAAGACATTCACCTATCGCTGGTTCTTGGTCCCGATACAGCTTATTCAAAGAAATTGAAAAAAAAATGATTTTTTGAGATTTATTTTTTTGCCTCGAAGTGAGTAATCCGACGATTAGTTAAAACGGTTTTGCCGGAATCTCGGCGTGTAATCGTAGTAAGCCGGGTTATTTTCATTTGTCACCGTGGTGCCCCGGGGAGGTCAAGAAGAAGATGAAGAAGCAGTATCCAGGAGAAGAAGAAGAGGAAGAAGAAAGAGACCTTTAAATCCCCGTATAGTGTAGTAGTAGTATTAACGGATTCGCCGCCGCCACAAACTCACTCCTTTTCAAAATGATGATGGAGTCAGGGTCAAGGGTTACAACAGGTTTAAACTTTAAACTCATGTGTTACTACGGTACTTAATTGAAAACTCATTTCTCTCATCTTTTGATACGTACCTCTTATCTTAGCAGTTAAAAAAGAAATCGAGATTTTGAGCAAATTTTTCCAAATCACCCTGGGTTATGTAGCAATAATAATCTTCTATATGATGACGTGGCTTTCGAATAAATCGATTCGCGAACACCCATTATATCGGCGTCCAATTGCTTTTATTGTCTATTAATTTGCCAGACAACGGTACTATTGTGTTATTACTACATACATACTGTGTTGATGTTGGTGTGTTGGTTGATTTCTTACGGCGCTGTTATAACAATCTTTTTGTAATTTCTCTTTAGCATTTTTTATTAAATTTTTTTTTGATCGTGTTAGAGAACCGGGGCGTAAATCGATCAATAAACCTGACCAGCAATACTTCTTCCTTATGCCAGGTGATTTCACTTTCCTACCCGGCTGGCTACCGGATGCCGTCTCCGCTTTGCTTATCCGACCATCGGGAAATTATTCGTCTCCCACGGACAATTTCAGCATCACCAACGGCATTGGAACACCGGCTCGCACTTACTTGACACCTCAAGACTACAACCACGACCTACCTATATCTAACCAATAATGCAATACGCAAGTTTCTCTAACAATAAAACTTACTCAATCGGACATTTTCGCAAAAATAATATAATTATATTTCTAATAAGATCCTAAATCTAAATATTTAACACACCTGTAACCATGACAACAATCTTTTTATATAACTCAATTATTACTTTTATTACCTCTTCATCTTAATAAGAGTAGCCTCAATACACTTAACCATGCGTCAATCTATGGCCTAAATCCATTTCCTGCTCCTTTTTAAATTTGTCACTACTCAAAAATTTATCGCGCTTAAGGTAAAGTTGGTAATATGGTTAATTAGCCTTTTATAGAAGCTCGTTCTCTGTGTTCAATCCATAGAGAACTCCAAACCTTTGGTGGTACTTTTGCTACTTAGTGACCCATTGTCAAATTTCAAAGTTAAACATTCAAGAAGATCACGACAGTTTAGGCTCGCTTAGGTTGCGTTAGAGAACGCCTCAGTTGAAGAGAAGTTAAGGAATTAAATTGTGCCAGCAAGGGGGGAATGCCAAATGCAATGGCTTGCGTTTTACCTGGATTCAGGTTAAGTCCATGACGTCTAGATCAGTCAAATACGGTAGAGACATCATTGTTAAGATGCAACAAAGCATCTGGGAGGGTTGTTAACAGTTGACGAAATATAAAGTTGAAGGTCATACTATTTATGAAAATTGAGAAGAGCAAAGGACCCAGCACACTGCCCTGGGGAATTCTACATTTGATGTCAACAGGAGAAGAGAGTACAGATTCCACGCGGACACGTAAAGACCGATAGGAAAGATATGACTGGAACCAAGATACACAAGAAGAAGTAAAACCAATAGCAGAAAGCCTGGTTGACAGAAGGGCATGGTCCACAGAATCAAAGGCCTTACTAAAATCAAGTAACACTAGCAAGGTAACACAAAGCTTATCACAAGCAGATTTAATATCATCGGTGATCTAAATCAGTGCTGTAGTAGTACCATGCTCATGCATCAGTATCAGATAACCTCTAAAACCACAGCAAACGTATAGAACTTAATGACAGTTAATTGGGCGTGGCAAATAGTGTGACGTAGAGTATGGGCAGCCAACCCGTAATGGGCTACAAAATAACAATGGATGTAGCAGTCCTGTTAGATTCTACATTCTTTGGTTTAGTATCAAATTAAATGATACTTTAAGAATAAAGTAAAGATATTGATTTTTGTACAAAAATGTTTGTGGATTATTGTAGATTTTGGTTCGTATCGTGACCTACCGCTATTAAGCGGATTATTAATTGACAAGTCGGAGCCGGAACTTGGCGCGGCTGTATTTCGGTGGTATCGTCGGCCGGTTATTAATAATACCGTCTCCGTGGAACGGCAACCGAATTCGCATGTATCCAGGCGAATTAAATCAGCCCTGATGTATTCATAAAAACAAAAAAAATTTTTTTTACCGAAACACTTTTATGAAATGAGTTTAAATTTTTTATTTAAAAAACATTCCCTCCTTCTTAGAAGATGTTCTTCCCGAAGAAGAAACAAACTTCCTCTCTCCGACATTTTCCTTCTTTATCTTTACCATTTCTCTTCTCGTCTTCTCTTGGACAAAGTTAGAAACAGGTGGGGGGGTTCGTTCTTCTTCCGCGATCGCGAGCAGAAGTCCGCGTTTTCGGCCTCCTCCCGGCGTCGGCGGCGGAGAACTCACCGGCTTTCAGTCTTTCGCGAACGATCGAACGCGACGGTCGTTAAACGATCGACAAAAAAGGTTTTTAAGTAACATTTCCAAAAAGTTACAATTCTTTAATAAACGGAATAAGTTTTTTCGATTTTAAAGAAAACCAACTAATAATATAAAAGGGGGTTTTTCGATTTTATTTAAAAATGTCGGTTTTTGATCCAGAAAAGGTTTTTTGATAAGCACCAAAATTTTTGATTATTTTCTTTCTTTCGTTTAGTTTTTGTCGTATGATTATAATTTGATAAAGTAATGATTTGATCATGTTTGGGGATTATTGTTTAATTTTTAAATGGATTTGAAACGTGATCGGTGGGATTTAAAAGGATTTTCGGCGGTTTTCGAGTGGATTTTAGACCAGTTTTGTCTTAAATAGTGGGTTCTACTCAATTGTTTATTTTATTATTGTTTTTTGGTTTTCATTTTTTTTTTTTTTAATTTTTGGTTTTGAGAATATGACGAATGTAAATCGAATTAGGGTGGTTGTTCTTGGGGCTCCACGTGTCGGAAAATCAGGTAAGTAATTTCTAATTTCTAATCCTACAACATTACACTTGTTTTTGTATTAACACGTTTGTTTTGATTCAAAAAAATATGTTTTAATAAAACAGCACGTAACGACGATAGATCACGTAAACCACGATAAATAGGAGTTATTTGCTGTTTTTGATTTTCTCGTTATTTATTGGATTATTCTCCAAGTTCACCGAACTTTTATTAAGATCACTTTGATACCTTATATTTACAATCCAAATTTTTTAAGGTTTCTGGGTGACCTCAGACTCATTAAATATCGACTTTTTATTTTTTCTTCTTGAAACATTGTCAACATTTAAAATTGTCGCGTAAACGTGAATTTATTTCGAGAATTTATTGATTTCTTTTCGGTAACTTTTAAAGGTAAAGAAATGTGACGTAAACGTTTCTTTTACCATATACATTTAATCTCATTTTTTTATTTTCTCAAAATGATATTTAAAGAATGCGAACGATTTCGTAATAAGGAACATGATTAGACGATTATATTTGAGTTATGGATGCTATTTATTTAAGTGGATCTCAACAAATCTCGATGCGAATATCTCTTTTTCTCAAATTTATTTCATCGATAATAAACTGTTGGGTCGTCTCATTTATCGACAGGTTGGTTTTATTAAATTTATCTGATATGTGGTCCAACGGTGGTTCGGCTACCGTATAATAATAAGCAAACTGAGCGGCCCCCTCGGATTAATCGGGTATTAAGAACCGAAAAAAATCAACGAAAACGAAGCACAGCCAAAAAAAAACAAGCCGATGAGAATGAGGATAAGAATAAGAGAGATGTTAATAAAAAAAACTTTTTAAGACGTCCTTAAAACGAGGTGCAAGAAAGAAGAATACCTATAAGATCGAGAATAAAACGGGAATGAGTCAAAATAAGACGAGAAATCGCGATATTTTTGATAAGACTTCATCGCTTTATTAATTGGAAATGAATCGGAGAAAGTAAATAAAAAAAATTGATTAAAAAAGTTTTTGAATAATTTGGTGGAATTTTTATGTTATAAAATAACGCGTAAATAATTTTAATTAAAATACTTTTTAATGGTTAATTAACTCCATAGGTATTTCCAAGGTTGAACTAAACTTTACAAATTCGAACTTTAAACGTCCATGGGCGGCACGAGAAGAAAGCACCGGAAAGCTTTTCACTACCTAAAAGCTGAGTCATTCGATCTCTTTATTCCAAACTTTGAATCCGTAAAGCAATCAAAAAAAGTTAAATAAAAATAAATTTTTCAAAATTTAATTAAATTAATTAAATAAAACTTTCGAGAACAACGTGATAAATCATGTTCTCGGTTTTATTTTTTATTTAAATCAAGTCGGACAGATCGAGTAGACGAAAATTGATTAATCGTCGAATTTGTCAAAGTCCGATACGATTTTAGCCGGCGGATTATTTACTTTAATTTTTTTTTTGTCCGTGGCGTTTGGTTTCGGTGTGAGGAGGCCCCAAAGGCGTCCCCCAAACGAAGACGCGTGACCCAAATTGCAATTATTAAAAAATTTTTAAGGTCAGAACGTAAACGTAAAAACCGAGAAACGTTTTCTTCTCTTTATTATTAACGGTATAAAAACTGTGAACGTAACGAACTCGTCAAAGTTTTTAATTCGATCTGTCAATTAATAAAAAAAAAATTAATAATAATAAGAAAATAAATAAAGGTAGAAATTTAATTTTAAGATTAAAATCATAATTTTTAAGCTTTGAAAACTGAATTGTTCCAGTTAAGATTAATTGGCCGATTGGGTTTGGTGAAATCCAGATAATCGTCGAAACCCTCGACTTTAATTAAAATTTATTTGAAATGTTAAGAGAAACTAAGCGCGAAAGTGACGTAATGGATTAATTAGAAAGGGGATCCTACATTAATTTGGCGAATAAATCTTAAACATACTGATTATTATATTTATCGTTTTAACAACCTTTTAAAGCTTCCGATCTTATTAAAAAATCAGGTTTCAATTTAACCAAATGCTTGCCAAATTGAAATCCTAATCTTTAAAATGATATATAATAAGTGGTATGTTTAATGCAAAAAGTTTTGAGATAATAAATTAAATATAAAAGTCAAAAAAATGAAAGTTTAAAAAATCAGCCTCATTTCATTTATGATTTTGAAGAAACGATTGATACATCAATTTAAAGCTGAAATTAAAATCTTTAAAATGATGTATCATACGTGGTATGTTTAATATAAAAATTTTTGAGATAATAAATTAAATGTAAAAGTCTAAAAATTTAAAGCATCTGTATTTAACTCAAAGTTTAAAAAATCAGCCTGATTTTATTTATGGTAGTGAAGAAAGCTCTACTCTTTAAAATGATATATTATAAGTGGGATGTTAATATAAGAAGTTTTAAGATAAATTAAATGCAAAAATCTGCGTTTTCATATAAAACAAAAATTTTGAAAAGTCTTTAAACTATCACCTTGATTTCATTTATTGTGATAAAGCAACGATTTATACAGTGAATTTCACTTAAAATGCAATATACAAAACTATATTTCCATAGAACCAAGGCGTACTTACTTCTTTTGTCCCACATAAAATGCAACATGTTTGAATGTTTCTGGTTGTAGGTCTAATGTTAGCTCTCGTGACAGTGGTAGGTAGCGCTAGTTAACATAAGATATCGCTATGTTCCATATTTTTATTGAACTAAAACTATACTAAATTCTGAATTTTTCACTTTGTACCTAAGAAGTTATGACATCTCGATTTGAGGTGGTTATAATAATTTTTTTCAGCATCGTTCTGGACAAATTTCAAATTTACTCAACTTTGAGCAAATTTGAAGGAAAACTAAACAATATTTATACAGGGTGATTCACATAAGAACCGACACAGAGCAGGGACATGTAGAGGACAATAAATTAAGATGATTTAAAGTAACTTACCTCCATACTAAGTTGTACACCTGAGGAGTTATAGGCCTTCAAAGTTGGCTGTTAAATTTTTAAAATATTGAATTTCTTCGTAATACATTAAGCTAGAAGAGCCAAATTTGGTATACGTTATGAATGTACCAAGGGTATTAATTGGTAGCAAATTGAACTCAATTGAGGCATTTCAAAGGGTTGATTAAGGGTAATGGTACCATAAATTTTGACATATTTTTTAACCTTTTGGCGGATTTAATAATTTACTACTTCATTTCATGTGGAATTTAATTCTAAAACTTTTTTTACTCTTATTATTTTTAAAAAAAACATTGCCGTTTTCATAAAAAACTCAAATAACTAAAGACACGTATTTCGTTAATGCTACTTAAAATCATCGAAAATTCAGTAGTCGGCTGTGAAATTTATGTCAAATTTGACAAATAGGTTATAAAACCTTGTTGTCAAATAACTTTATAACCTATTTGTCAAGTTTGACGTACAATTTCATAGCCGACTACTGTATTTTCGCTTATTTTAAGTAAAATTACGAAATAAGTGTCTTTAGTTATTTAAGTTTTTTAAAAAACAATAAGAGTAAGAAAAGTTTTAGAATTAAATTCCACATGAAATGAGGTTTTGACAGAAAAATCTGTCAAAATTTAGGGGACCATCACCCTTAATCAACCCTTTGGAATGCCTCAATTGGTCTCAACTTGCTACCAATTAATACCCTCGGTACACTCATAACGTATACCAAATTTGGTTTTTCTAGCTTAATGTATTACGAAGATATTCAATATTTAAAAAATTTAAGACCCAACTTTGAAAGCCTATAACTCCTCAGGGGTACAACTTAGTATAGAGATAAATTGCGTTAAATCATCTTAATTTATTGTCCTCTACATGTCCCTGCTCTGTGTCGGTTCTTATGTGAATCACCCTGTATAAAACAACTTGATCCCTAAACACTGCAACCTGCTTAAAAGTTTCAAAATGTACAGGTTCCAAGTACATATTGAATTTGCCAAATATATCAATCGAATAAGTTAGTTTTAGCAAAAACTCTCCTGCAAAAAAGTGTGAATTTCTAGAGATTAAAAATCTAGCTTTTAAAGAGGTTTAATTTTAAAGGACTTCTGCGCGTCGCTCCGTCAAAATCTTTTTACGGGTTTCTTTTTGGACGATTTCTTAAGCAAATCATTTTGGCGACAATATTTGGGAAAATAGTACACAATAATCGATGTACAGTAATCGATTCTTTTAATTTTCTTTCCATTAATTTTTTTTCCTAATTTATTTTCTTTATTCTCATCGTTACAAAAAACCCTATATAGACGCATTCCTAGGTTTGAATTTACGGGCACCGGGTAAAAGTGGCGACCGTTAATGTGCGCGACGCCGTTAATTGGCGACGATAAATCGGCACTGGTTTTCTAATTGATGGGGGCCCCGATCTTGGAATAGCTATGCTAATCCGTCGACGGAGAGAACCAGAAGGACCCCAACGACTTCTTCTTCTTCTACCTCCATCCGCTTCTAATCCAGCGTCTTTTAAGTCGTCGTCGCCGTCAAACGACGTTGTACAATACCGTTCCCGTTGGACTCCGTTAAGAGGTTTGGACCTTAAGACCCATCCAAGTTACTGGGTTATCAGATGAGGAACTTAACTCTAACTGTTTACTTTACTTCTTGAGGAATTTTAGATTTTAAAAATTCCAGTTTTAAATGAAAATGTCTAAGAAAATGTTTAACATTCTGGTAAATTTAAAGAGAAAGTTAACAGAAGTTGTTATACATCGTACATTGTAGGGTTTAGAATTTAAATTTGGGTTAAATAAGACAAAGAGGTATTTGTTTAAAGTTTAAAGATACAAGTCATTGGAAAAAAAAAATGGAACTTGACAATCACTCGATTTGAATCTTGACTTAACGGTAAAACTTGCCAATTTTAATCTGGATAGATTTGAATCAAATTTTTCCTAACGAACCCGAACGTTTCAAAGTTAAAGACAAACGTCAATTTAAATTTGAATTATTTTTTCATTTTAATCTCGTTCAATATGGTACGAGAACAATCCGGTT